CCAATGGTTAATAAATGATCTCTTATACTCACTCGCTAAATTAATGCGGATGAATGATTTGAAGGCATTACGTAATAAGTAATTTGTTCCTGGCTTGCAAATTTATCTTGCTATTTTAATTCGAATGTATAATAAATGTTCTTTTTATACTTACGGACTGATTAACCAGATATAATAGTAAATAAATATTTATTTGTGAACTAATACTTAATAATGTTCTTTATACTCACGGGCTCAATAAAATTAAATTATTTGATGGAAATAAGTATTTTTGTTTTTAAATTGCGATCTTTATTTGCTGATTTGGTTAATCAATGATCTTATACCTACCCACTAAATTAGTACTGTAGTTATGCTCTTGCTTTGCTGATTTTGATTCCATTGGTCAATAAATGCTCTTATACTCACTCACTAAATTAATATTAAATAATTTGAAGATATGATACGATAAATGAATATTTACATACATGATTTGTAAAGTTGTTTTGTTAACTTTAATACCACTGATTAATAAATGATTTTATACTCACTCCCTAAATCAATGTGAATGAAGTGAATGAAATGATTTGAAAAATATTATGTACGGTAGGTAAATATTTATGTTCTTGACTTGTAAGTTTGTTTTTCTGATTTTAATAATAAATGATCTTTATACTCACTAAATAAAATGATTAATGCGAATGAAATAATTGTATTGCATAATGATAATTAATATTTTATATTCTTTACTAATAACTTGTTTTGATGATTTTAATTCAAATAATCAATAAATAATCTATATACTCACAAACTAAATTAATGTGATTGAAAGGTATTAAAAAGTACTTATGTTATTGAATCCTTATAACTGTTTGCTAATTTTAATCCCAATGATCAATAAATGAACTTTATACTCACATACTAAATTGAATAATTAATGTGAATAAAATGATTTGAAGGGTATTGTATAATAATAATTAGTATCTATATTCATGATTGTTAACTTGTTCCGCTAATTTTAATTCCAATGATCTTTATACTCACATGCTAAATGGAATAGTTAGTGAGAATAAAATGAAGGGCATTACATAACGGTAATACGTATTTTATGTTCTTGCTTTTTGAGCTTGTTTTACTGTTTGGAATTCCATTATTAATGAGCGACCTTTATACTTACATACTAAATTAATGCAAATGAAATGATTTGAAGGGTAGTACATAAATATCTATGTTCACTTGCTTTGCTGATTTTATTTCCAATGATTAAAAAATAACCTTTATACTCACTCGCTGAATGAAATAATTAATATGAATAAAATAATTTAAGTATTACATAATGGTAAATAAGTATTTTATTCTTTGTTTGTGAACTTTTAAACCCAACTGTTAATAAATGATCTTTATACTCACTGGCTGAATGAAACGATTTGAAGGGTATTACGTAATGATAAATAATATTTATTTTCTTGATTTGTTAGCTTTTAATTCCAATGATTAATCAATAATCTTTTTACTCACCCACTGAATTAACGTGCATTAAACGATTTGAAGAGTTTACGTAATGGAAATAATTATTTAATTTAATGAGCTGTGAACTTGGTTTTGCTGTTTTAAATTTCGATTATTAACGATTTTTATATTCACCAACTAAATTAAACGAATTAAGTGATTTACGCTCTTGATTTGTAAACTTGTTTTGCTGATTTTAATTCCAATGATTAATAAATGATCTTTATTTACTCACAAGCTAAATTAATGCGAATAAAATCATTTGAAGAATATTACGTAATAGTAAATGAGTATTTATGTTTTCTATTTGTGAACTTGTTTGCTGATTTATTAATTGTCTTTATACTCACTAACTAAATTAATATGTATAAAATGATTTGATACTACTAAGTACTTAAGTTCATGATTTGTGAACTTATTTTGCTGATTTTGAATCTAATGATTAATAAATGATCTTTATACTCACGGGCTAAATTAGCACAAATAATTAATAAATATTTATAAATTTAAACAGCTGATATGTAGATTAATAGATGCTTACTCCCTGATAATTGGTTAATTAAAGTGGTATAAAATATTTCCAATTTTTAACATAAAATTTACGGATATATGATAAAATTATCTTACTTTTTAATCCATTCCTGATATTCTTTGCCACGCCAATTCCGTACCAGTAGCAAATAGCAGTTTTGTAGATTCCATTAGAATTATTCATTTCTGCGGATTTTTGGTAATATTCAAATGCTTTGTGTTTATTCTTTTCAACTCCAATTCCTAAATAATAACAATAACCAACTTGATACATTCCATTAGAATTATTCATTTCTGCTGATTTTTGATAATAAATGAATGCTTTGTTCTCATCTTTTTCAACACCAATCCCATATTCATAACAGTAGCCAAGCCTGTATACTCCATCTGGATCGTTCATAATTGCTGATTCTTGACAATTAATAAAATTTAGTTGAGCAAAATTTTCTACTAATTGTTCTTCCGCTAAGCCTTCATTTTCCATTTTTTTTTAAAAAAAGTTTGCATCACTATACGTATCATTTATATTTTACAGTGGTTGTACAACAAGTTAGTACTATATCCTAAATTATATACTGGTGTACGTAAAAAAGGTTTACGTATTAGCGTAGTACAATTTTTTTATTTAAATTTCTTCAATTTTACATAAAATTTTCTAATAGCAGTAATAAATTGTACGACAAAATAATAAGTGTAAATAGGTAGAATTTGTTTAACTTAAGAAATTTATCTCATGCGTATTAACGAGCAATTATTTTCAATAGTGATAATTCAGTTGAGTCTCAAAACTTCGAAAGTTTTAAGTTGGTTCTCTAATACTAGCTTTCTATTGATTATAAGAATATTATAAGATTTTGTGCATTGTTATCGATATTTAGTTTCTGTGGCTTTTGATAAAAATAAATAGAAATCAGAACCTTTTATATATTAAAACTAGTACATATCATGTAAGCGGCTTCACCGTCTAATTTAATAACTTTAATAACGTATTATTACATGAGTTACTCAATGAATCAAATAGATATCTAAATCATTTATACCGAAATAGATGTGGATAAACTGCTTGTTAACGGATAAGCAGGTGAACTATTCGAAAGAGATAAATAAACATCCGGTTCCAGCTTAAAAAATTGATAAATTTTTATTACCAATATATTAAAAATAAGTAGCTAAATATAATACGAGAAGGTGAAATCCACCTTTATATAATAAAAAACATAACCTGATCTACGTAGCAATTTACAAGCTAGCAACTCAGGTTTCATCTTGTTCTAATATAAACATTAAACCTTTAAACATATTTGCACATAATAAGATCGCCATTTTACAAATTCTCATTATACGTCTTTGAATTATGAATTAATTTAAATGCAAAGATCGTACAAAAAGATATTGAATTTTCTATATAACATATTATCAAAAAATCCATCTTTTCCTATAGTTTAAATATTTTCAAATTCATTATATCCAAGATGATGGATATTTTTTAGTTTATACCCTGGTCACTATATCAAGATCGCAGGGCATAAATCAGTTATGTCCTGGGCACTATGTGATAAGCGGGACTTTCAGCCCCGCTTATACCCAACTGCCCAGGAAATAACTATTACAAATGCATGTGTGTTATTTGGAGTTATCGTGCAAACTCTTATGATCATAGATTTTCTTTCTTGTTATTTTTTGTACGTTATTACATAAGCACAACAATCTCGAATTAAAACTCAGTTAGCCGAAAATGACTTGAAAATCATGATCATAATTGCACAATATCTTATACTTAAGAGATTGTTTATCGTTTTGAATGATGATTTTGGATGATAAATAATAATATCCATTGCCAATGACTCTGAAGCTCAAGTCGGTTGTCTCTTATAATTTTTTTATTGGGTTATTTGCGGTTCGCTTTGTTTTATAAAGAGGTGATAATCATCCGAACGATTGTTAAAAAAAAAAAAGATTATGACCGAATTTTATTATTAGCAGCATTAATACATTAATAATAAAATATGCTTGTCTAACATTTTATAGAGTTCAAAAGGTTCGCTTGAGCTATAATAATTTGTGCTACGGAAATCACGGAATTAGAACTGCCGTAAAAATATATGAAGGTTAAATATTCTTTTTAATTCTGGTCAGACTTTTTTTATAATAAGCCGAACCGAATTAAAAAAAAAATTATTAACTATATTAGTTTAACCACATAGAATTATATTAAGTAACCCGCAGAAAATTATTTTAGCATACTTTATTGACACAATTTAGAATTAACTTTAAATATACAGTATGAGGTAAGTAACACGAAAATCTGATTTCCTTACAGGGATACGTACTGCATTATGATAGATAACAAGTACGTACGTATTATATCAAATGTTATATAAAAATTATGAATGGAAAACATTTGTATTGATAAAAAACCGTGTGTTTAAACGGCTTTTTTAACAGATCATTTTTTAGTCAGTTTCAAATCCTAACGTACTGTACGGCTTAACTTTTTAACGGCTTTTAACGTTAAACTTAAATTTCCAATCGGAATTTCATGAAATATATGTTTTGAAGTTTATGCATTTTTTATAAAGTCAGAATCTTTAACGGTACCCTTCTCTTATTTAAAGATCTTTTGAATACTGAATTAGGTATTTAAAACACGTTAAAGCTACAAGTGAAACTGAAATTAAATTGGCAAGTTTCACTAGTTTTCAACGCTAAAAAAATCTATATTCTTAGTTATCTAATTATACAGTTATTTTAATTAGTTAGTTATATATATTTAGTTTCAACATTTAGTTTCACAGTTTCACTCACAACTATATTTCTATATCAGGAAATTTCTTTTAACCTTTGATCGTTAGTAACGATCATTTTTTGATGCATGTAATAGGGTAATTATCATCTAAATTAATCATTTTGTCAAACACTAATTAAATTATATAAAGTAATAATTTCAGTGATCTCTCTTTTTTTTCTAAAAAAAAAAAAAAATGATATACTCGATAGATTTTTTTATTCGTATTCTGAATTTATCCCTATTTCATCCTTCATTTGCAATACTTTTTCTTTCTTTTGTATATCTTCAAGGCTATGGTATAAGTCAACCGGAATTTTTGTGGACTAGTCTATATACTTTAGTAGTATGCTTTTTTTGGTTTCTAGGCTATTTGAGTATAAAAAGTAGAAATGGGTGGAAAAAATCTATTACTGATTGGGATGATGAAGTTGTTGTTATAACTGGAGGTCAATATCATATTTAATTTTTTTAATATATTTTTTTTTTTATCTAAATTATTCCGTTTCAATTGATCCATCTCTTGTTGATGAACGTATATTTTTTTTTTTATCTAAATTATTCCGTTTCAATTGATCCATCTCTTGTTGATGAACGTATAGGTTCGGGAGGACTTGGAAGTTTACTAGCCGAAACGCTTGCTAGAAATGTGACTGTTGTTATATTAGATATTAGACCTCCACAAATTGAACATGGTATTTTTCGATTTATATTTATATTGAAATAATTTAATTCTTTTTATGAAATTTTAACTTCATATGTTTATAAATCATTGTCTAGATAATATCATTTATTATGAATGTGATGTGTCGAAACTTGAAGAAGTTCAAAAAGTTGCTAAAGAGATTATAGAGGAGGTATCTATTATTTTACGACCATTTTTTCTATCTTTGGGTGAATTTTAAAGACTATATATAATGTTAATTTGGTTTAAAATTGTAAAGTTGATTTTCGGACTGTCCTAAAAAAAATTTCGAAAATTTGAAATTTTCGAATAACGGCATTATTGGCGCAATTTGGACATTATGGTTTTCGGATGTGATTAATACAAAGTGACCATTTTTCAGAATAGCCCTAAAAACTGTTCGTCCGAAAATACGCTCCTTTGCCAATCTTATAACATTGATATTTCTATTTTACAAAAATTTTGGTTGTAATCTAAACTGATTTTTGAGTTATAACCGCTTCCGATCTCTTTACCGATTTATCATCGAACAATCAACTTAATAATTCCTAAATTAATATCTTTAAAATTTTCAAAAAAAATCAAATAGTTTTCTTTTTTTTTTCTTTTAATTTTCATAGACAATAATCAATTAATTAATTAATTAACTTAAAACATGTATTTAGGCTGGCCATCCTACTATTCTAATCAATAACGCTGGAACTGTTCAAGGAAAAACTATTCTAGAATCATCTGAAAAAGAAATAATAGAGTAAGATCTTGCTTGAATTATATTTGATTCGCAATACTGTATTATACACAATTATTAATTTGTTATCGTTATTAATAACATATTTTTATTATTTATCAAGCACTCTCAACGTTAATTTATTAGCATCTTTTTGGACCACCAAGGTCTTTTTGCCTGAAATGATCAAGAAAAATCATGGGCATATAGTAAATTTCCATCATTTATCATAATTTTAATTAAATAACGTTATAATCTATAATTTTAATATATTCTTTCTTCTTATATTAAAGGTAACAATAGCGTCTGCTCTTGGATTTATTGGAATGCCCCAATTAGGTATTTACATACTCAATTATAATTTCATATCATATTTCATATTATATGTCGTGATTCATTTTTTTGTAACCACATTTTTTTTTATAGGCGATTATTGTGCAAGCAAGGCAGCATTGATCAGTTTTCATGAAACACTACGTCGTGAATTGGACAGTCGGTAATATTTATATAGATTATTTATTATACATCATTAAATATACGATCATTCGATTTTTTTTTTAATACGTATATAAAATTCTCTTTCAATCAGATATAATGCAAAAAATGTTCGTACAACATTAGTCTGCCCTGGAAAAATCAAAACTGGAATGTTTGATGGTACAACTGTTAGATTCCCCTTTTTAACACCTTCGATGGCTGCACTTGAAATAGTAAAACCTATAATCACCGCTCTGGATAAAAATCAGGGACAGGATATTCTTCTTCCATATTATGTTAATGGTTTAGCGTTGTTAAGGTTCTTGCCTCATTTTGTACAAGATCTTCTTTATAGGGTAACTTTTATTTTGATATTTGTATTTTTTATTCACCGATTTAAATGTATTTTAATATCGTTTTTTTCTTTGTGCAGTCAAATGGCGGTCCTAGTTCAATGTTAAAATGGAAAGGTAAGTATAATAATAAAGATAAAGATCAATAAGATAACAGAAAAAATTTTATAAATATTTAAACACCCGAAATACTTTTTTAAAAAATTTTATATTACGATTTTAAAAAATAATTATTATTTTTGAAAAATTTTTTCGTCATCAAAACTTTATAACTTTATAATCATTAGAAACATTAAAAAGTTTTCTAAATTGAAATCGATAAGACCTATTACCATAGTTATTATTATAATGTTTTCTTAAACATTACTTGATTATTTGTATATTCCATGGAGTTTCCATGAGTTTCCATGAATTTGCTGACTTTAAAGAAATTTTGATATATCGAGATTACTTGATCAGCTTGAATTGGATCGATCCAATCTTATGAGAACACGTGGGTTACTACAGTATTATATCTTGAATCATGATTACAATGCACGACTTAAATCTCTCTGTAAATTATGAATATGTAGATAAAGGATAATTTGAGTTACTAGCCCATTTCTTTGTCCGCTTTGGAGTTAATTTTAAATACAGTATTTATCATCGTGAGATTGTGATAGTATGATGTATTTAAATACAACTTATCAATGTAAATACGCTTATTATCAAATTCAAATCGTTCACTCTTTCCTTTTTTTTTTTTTGACCACCAAAAAGATAAAATTTCCTTTTTATAAATTTTGATTAACGACACGCATCCACTTTTCTTCTCAAAAAAAAAATTTTGGTATTTGATATTTGATATGATGTCACCAATTACCGACCAATTTTCGACAATTTTTGAAATTTTATCACTTTTCAATTGGTCCAAAAAGGAAAAAAATGACACCTCAAAAAATATTAAAGATAATAATGATAAAGAGATCGATAATTATGAAATGAAAACATTAAAAAAGTCATGTGAAGAAAATATTGGTTCAACTTTACCAACAAAAACAACAATGAATAATTTAGTAGATTTAATCGATCAAACGATTCAAGATTATTGTATTGAAAATAATTCAAGAGCTTTCAAAATAAATTATTACTGGATTTCGGATTTTTCAACTGTATTAATTATTCCTTCAGATGTAACGTTAAAAGATTTTAAAATATTCGCTACTCAACAATTTGGTGAAAAATATTTGGTACCTGATGATTGTGTCGTACTTGCTCATACACAAAATTTCGATCTTCTTCGTGATGTTGTTAGAATTAAAGGTGCTACTGAATCAAGAAATGCCATACACTTTGTAGGATTAGTGGTGATGAACAAAATAAAGATTGTTTCTTCTGAGATCGCGTGGAAAAATTGTTTAGCTATGAATTGTAGTGTTGTTGAGGTTACAATATTTTCTAAAGAAATGCTTACTTATTAGTATTAAATTAAATGTTTTGTTCATAACGCTCTAAGGTTAGAATTATTATAACGTTCTAAGGTTAGAATTTTTTAGAGCTTAAAGCAGGTCAGAAATTTACATCCGAAGAAATGTTGGTAATGTGCATTGATTATTAGATTATTAGCAATAAGCGGGTGTTAATTGTATATAGTCAAAATTCTTGAATAGGTGTGCATACGTATTTGATTTTTTTTACTGTAGACTTTTTTTTTTTTGGTTATCAACCACAATGTAAATTTAACCATTAGTACATAAAATGATTTATATAAAAAAAAACAACGATAACATACAAGTATTTTCGTTTTACACATTTTATTCTGTCTTTAAGTTATTGCGGAGTCATTTAAATCATTCAAAAAAAACCCCCCTACAGACTCCTCTCCTGTGTCATAATTTCCGTGACAATTGATTCAAGCTTAGATATTTCCCCCTTTCTTTTTCATTTACTTTAATATATTTTGTTGTTCTTGACATATGACGCATCTAATAAATATCTATATATATCTATATTAAGAGAAACTGATAATGTATTATAAGTTCCCAGGTTGCTCAAATCCATACACAGGAAAAAGAAAGGATTAGAAGTTTCATTACGCACGAGTAATAATAGCGAAGATGAAAGATAAAGTGTAGTAAAATCGTATCCTTCTAAAGTTGTATTTTCGAATAGATTTGAGTGTCGTTAAATTAAAATGTAAAATTTTTTCCACCATATATTCACCATAATATACTTTTACTCTATAAACTAATTTTAAACAATATTCAATTTTGTAAAATTACAATTTTTCTGAAATTAAACTTAATACTCATTTATCGTTATGAATTATTAAAGTCACCGATTTCGCTTAACTACTGCTGTATAATGTTTTAAATTTTTGATTTCTTAAGAATTTTATGAATTATTATTTATTTGTAACTTTTCCAAATATGAAGACTGGTTCTATAAACCACAGTACATTTTATGTGTTAAATGTTGTCCAATTGTCTGTTTAACTTTGTGGATATTTCTACATGTATGTGAAAGAATAATGAAAAAAAGGTCAGATGTTTTCAGAGAAATTAAATATTTAATACCGGTGTATAAATCTAGTATCGATTTACCAGAATCTAGAGAGTCTAGGCAAGCTTATAATTTTTTTCCGTATATTATGAATATGGAAAAATAAATTATTAACCAAATGGTATAATATTAATGACATTATATTAACTAAAACTGTTTATATTATGGAAAATTTAAATGAATTAATGTCTCCCAAAGTTTAAGTCTGGACTTCTCGAATTTTAATTAACCATATAAGTTTTACACCTTTGTGAAATGTACTAATTCAAATAACAGCATTATCATGTTGATTTTATCTAATAGTCTTTAATGCTTTATTGAAACTACTATTCTCTTATTGTCCATATGTTCGAAGACTTTGGAAGATTTAGGTTTAATCCCCACAGCATCATTATTTTATACAATACTTTTAAATGGATACTTAATTATATTTATTTATTTATTTATATCTTTTATTATGTTTATAATATAGAAATGGTGATAAATGTGAGTGAAAACAAATTTAATAAATAGATATCAATATTACATATACCAAACATTTAATTTATAAATTTGTCAAAACTTTAGTAATCTCATCTAACCCTTCTTTCGCATCTTTTTGAAAAGCACAATAATTACTGATCTCATAATTTTATTTAAAAGCAGTTGAGTAAAAAAACTAATCTCAATCTCATATGTTAAGAATAGAGTTCCGAATCGGTTTGTAGTAAACCGGATGACCTGGATCACTGATTTGTAAGCCGGGTCAAATCGGTTGGATATGTTGTGTATGTTAATTCTTGGAATATGTCGTTTTGAGATCGTATAAGTTTTACCGATTAATTAAAAAAATATATTAATTTTTATATAAACGATATTTATTATCAAACGATGAGAATATGCTAAAAAAACAAAATACAGCATCTTCCATTTATTTTTCTTTGTTTTAAAAAATTCATTCATTATCAATGAAAATTCAAAATGACTGAATTGACGGGAATCAATAAACAACGCATAACATATATTCAACCCGTTTTCATTCGGGTCATCCGATTTCAATTCACATGGGTGACCCGGGTGAAGAAATTGCATCCGGTTCAGAACTCTATCCAAGAGAAAGCCTGTTATCGGGCTTTCGGTATATTTGTACCATACACAATCTCTAAATTATGGTTCTGGTATAAAATATAGTTGGAAGCCCGGTGATGGGTTTTCCATAAAATTTGGTACTGTACGTACGTACGTACGCACGGTAAAAACCAGCGTAAACAAAGAATTCTCAAATAACTAGTTACAAACCTGAATATATTAGGTTTGAATTAAACAAAGAATTCTCAAATAACTAGTTACAAACCTGAATATATTAGGTTTGAATTAAACAAAGAATCGTGAGATTGCAGGATTACAGGTTTTCATTCTAATTTAGATTAATAATTAATTAGGGTAGTTGCGCGACGCAGTCGCGCTAAAATCAGGAACGTCATATGAGTACATCTTAAAATTTCAAAACAAGTATCTATTTGCATTGTTATATTTTATAATTAAATTATAACAATTTAATTTTCAAAAGGATTAAGGCTTCATTTTCTTGTGGAATTAAATTATAATTTACTTAAATTCACATATTTTCTTTATCTATTATTTTGCACTATCAATTATTTTATTTCAGCTTTATTTCTACTATTTCATTACTAATTATAATTGTACTTAACTTTGTTATATCATAAATTATTGCCTTTTCATACCCATCCTTTATTTCTTTATTTTTGGCCATACTATTGACAAGAGAGCGATTTAGACACAGGTGTGGAACAAGGAAAAAAAAAAAGATGAAAGAAAATAGACAACAAAACAGGATAAAAATTGATTAATTACAGTAAGTATGCCTACTGTTACGCGTGCTAAAAAAAAAACAAACCAATTGACACATAATAAATAAGCGAATCTACGTCCGTATTATTTCACTAACACTTTATAGACAACTTAGTTCATATACATTAATCTACAGTCAAGATTATTTTACAGACGGTTAATTCACAGACAAACTCACTTTTTAAACAATATTACCCCTAACGCCAATGACTAGAATTAATTTGCCTCTAAAATTATATGTCGGTTAAATACCTGTCTATGAAACAAACTTATCTGTGAATTAATCGACTGTAAAATAACTTTGCCTGTAATTTAATTTTTTGAATAGTAGGGATGTTACGGTCCTACAAGTACCATGGTCCGAACCGGTCTTTTGGTCCAGTCCAGCCAGTTTTCGGTCCTAAATTGAGGACCGGTCTAAAGCCTATGAAATGACCTTATTGGCTATATATATATATATATATTGATGACCATATCTATAAGTTTCCAATGTCAGCCTAATTCAGTAACTTGTAGATTTTTGATCGTTAACTTGTCGATTCAGTCATTGTAGTGATGCAATAGAATCGTTCCAATGATGTTACAAGTCATAACTAACTAAAAACTTATACAGTATCGCAACTAGTTACGACAAATCATTGGGATGATTCTACTGGATCACTAGGCATTGGCAATTTTTTTCAATTGTCCCAGGATTTATGATGATAGCTGTAAGGTCTTTTTATATGTAGCGATCATTAAAACCACCAATTTATGGACCGGTTTATGGACCGCTCTTGGACCACGGTCCAGTTCGCGGTCCTCTGGTAGGACCGGTCTTTGGGACCAAGACCGGACCGGGACGGACCGTAACATCCCTATCTGTGAAGTAATAGTTGGTGAATTGATACTAAACTAAATAAAATATTAAATAAAATCAAAATATGTATTAAATAAATTGCAATAAACGTAGTTTAAATTTTAAACATAACAATAGATGTATTCGGATTACAGAATACCAGTATGGTATGGGCGACCTGTACAGTCTGATATGAGATGTACAATAAACCATTCTATACTTTTATATATAATAGCTAGTCAGAATTGTACGGTTTATAGTTTAAAAAAACTATACCATACTGTAAGATATTATAATTAAATTATTATATCGAATCAGTATGGTATGATTCTTTGTTAAAAATCCATACCATACTGACCTGGTTATAGATATACATGGGCGTCTAAATTACTCCTCTTAATAAAAAAATTATTTTGACATTTAGTCTGTTGAAATTAATTTTTCTTGATGGCTAAATTAAATTTCATAGTTGTCGTGAAATTATTTGAATTCTTTATGTCAAAATACGTTAGGTAGTATAGTTACTTTGTGGAATTCATATAAAAAAAAAACTAGCAATGTCGAAATGCTTGTCGAAATTACCTTTTTTAAAAAATAATTTAGCCACCCATGTATAGTTACAGATGACATTGAAATACTGGAATTGCCCACCACCTCTTGAATGTGTGCCAAGTTTGCGTCATTAACCATCCAAAAAATTTGCAACAGCCGACAAATAAAATACAAATTATAATCCAGTATAAGCAGAAATAACGCTCGTGGGCATTATTTTAAAATAGGATCCTTCAAAAATAACATGTATGATCTCGAATTAGCGTCCCGAATTAAATGTCGCAAATAATTTATTGTTGCAATAAATGATATACAGTTGATACTCCATATGTGTACACTCTATAAGTGCACTTTCCATACAGTATAGACGCGAAATAACGCTTTTGGGCGTTATTTTGAAAATCCAATCCTTAAAATAACTTATATGATCTCGAATTAGACGTCCGTCCCGGATTAACGTGCATCCTAACGCTAATGTCAACCGGAAATTCATGTGATCACATGATGATCTCCGTCATTATATAGTAAAAATAAAAATCATATTATAACTAAATTTAATGTGAAGTAAATCTACTTTCGTGTACTATAGTCGTTCTTCATATTGTGACGATTCTAACAGTAATGAAATCATCAAAAATGGTCCAATAGAGCGTCTGCAATAGTTCTTATAACTTGAAA